GTGTGTGTGTGTGTGTGTGGCTGTGTGGCTGTGTGGCTGTGTGGCTGTGTGGCTGTGTGGCTGTGTGGCTGTGTGGCTGTGTGGCTGTGTGGCTGTGTGGCTGTGTGTCTGTGTGTCTGTGTGTCTGTGTGTCTGTGTGTCTGTGTGTCTGTGTGTCTGTGTGTCTGTGTCTCTGTGTCTCTGTGTCTCTGTGTCTCTGTGTCTCTGTGTCTCTGTGTCTCTGTGTCTCTGTGTCTCTGTGTCTCTGTGTCTCTGTGTCTCTGTGTCTCTGTGTTTCTGTGTCTCTGTGTCTCTGTGTCTCTGTGTCTCTGTGTCTCTGTGTCGCTGTGTCTCTGTGTCTCTGTGTCTCTGTGTCTCTGTGTCTCTGTGTCTCTGTGTCTCTGTGTCTCTGTGTCTCTGTGTCTCTGTGTCTCTGTGTCTCTGTGTCTCTGTGTCTCTGTGTCTCTGTGTCTCTGTGTCTCTGTGTGTCTCTGTGTCTCTGTGTCTCTGTGTCTCTGTGTCTCTGTGCCTCTGTGCCTCTGTGCCTCTGTGCCTCTGTGCCTCTGTGCCTCTGTGCCTCTGTGCCTCTGTGCCTCTGTGCCTCTGTGCCTCTGTGCCTCTGTGCCTCTGTGCCTCTGTGCCTCCGTGCCTCCGTGCCTCCGTGCCTCTGTGTCTCTGTGTCTCTGTGTCTCTGTGCCTCTGTGCCTCTGTGCCTCTGTGCCTCTGTGCCTCTGTGCCTCTGTGCCTCTGTGCCTCTGTGCCTCTGTGCCTCTGTGCCTCTGTGCCTCTGTGCCTCTGTGCCTGTACCTGTGCCTGTGCTTGTGCTTGTGCTTGTGCTTGTGCTTGGGCATGGGCTTGGGTTTGGGCTTGGGCTTGTGCTTGTGCTTGTGCTTGTGCTTGTGTTTGTGTGTTTGTGCTTGGGTGTTTGTGCTTGTGTTTGTGTTTGTGTTTGTGTGTGTGTGTGTGTGTGTGTGTTTGTGTTTGTGTTTGTGTTTGTGTTTGTGTTTGTTTTTGTGTTCGTGTTTGTGCTTGTGTTTGTGTTTGTGTTTGTGTTTGTGTTTGTGTGTTTGTGTGTTTGTGTGTTTGTGTGTTTGTGTGTTTGTGTGTTTGTGTTTGTGCGTGTGTGTGTGTTTGTGTGTGTGTGTGTTTGTGTTTGTGTGTGGTTGTGTGGTTGTGTGTGTGTGTGTGTTTGTGTTTGTGTTTGTGTTTGTGTTTGTGTTTGTGTTTGTGTTTGTGTTTGTGTTTGTGTTTGTGCTTGTGATTGTGTTTGTGTTTGTTTTTGTGTGTGTGTTTTGTGTGTGTGTTTTGTGTGTGTGTGTGTTTGTGTTTGTGTGTGTTTGTGTGTTTGTGTGTTTGTGTGTTTGTGTGTTTGTGTGTTTGCGTGTTGGTGTGTGTGTGTGCCCAAAGCTGTGTTGTGCATGTCTGTGCGGTGTAGCGAAAGTTGTGTGCTGCGTGCTGCATGCTGTGTTGTGCACGTCTGTGCGGTCGCCCAGTGGCATTTAGTGGTGTTTACAGTCTTCCCGGGGGCACACCCTCTATAGAGCCAGCGTTTAGTGGTGTTTACAATCGCCCGGTGGAGGGGGGGTTCCAAAAGCGCGCCGCATCCCGCAGAGCCCTCTAGAGTCAGCGTTTAGTGGCGTTTACGGTCTTCCAGCAAGGGGGTCCTAAACGCGCGCCGCATCCCGCAGAGCCCTCTAGAGTCAGCGTTTGCTACATTGTGCGTGTCGTGTGCGTGGCATGCGTGGCAAGTGCGATGTCGTGTGGCATGTTCGGTGTGTGAGGTGTGTGTGTGTGTGTGTGTGGCGTGTGTGGTATGCGATGTGCGTCTAGGGAGAAGGAGGGGAAGAGGAGAAGGAGGAGGAGGAAGAGGAGGAGGAGAAGGAGAAGGAGAAGCAGAACGGAGAGCGACGGTAAAAACAAAAACCCCACAGTGACGTGGGGAATAACATTGAAATCACATCCAATCATTCCGGCCAGGGCGCAGCTGAGACGACAAGAAGACCCCAGACGCAGGCTTCTTAGCCAAGCAGCGGAGATCAAGCCCACTACTAGCTCTTTTTGCTGCGGCAGCACATTTCACGAGCTAAAGCCGTTCCACCACCTGGTCTTCGGCGGACACCCCCACTGCATAGGACCAATGCAAGGACCTTCCTGGATACAAGCGACCGTCGGGATATAATCCCCAAGGCATCTGGTCGTCTTCCAATGATGAGGAGTTCAAGCCTTCTGCTAGATGCAGCGCATCTGCTATCATCTTGCGGTCATTGCACAGCCATGTTCGGATTGCTCCCTCCTGGTCTGCTGCGTCACAGACATCGTCGTAGCTGCTTCCGAACACGAGGCTTGCCTGTGCCAGCTGCGGTTTCGGCTGATTCCGGTTCAGCAACGTAGCGAGCTTTATGGCGTCAGCACGGTCTGCCACAACATGAACTTCCAGCGGAGCATTCAGCTCAAGACAACTCCTTTGTTGCTTCACCGCTTCCAAGATATCTTCGAGAATCTGCATGGGCGGCTCCCCTCGAGGACTGGCGGAAGTTAAAATCAGTTTATCGCAAGCTGCAAGCGCCCAGCCAAACTTGGCCCTGTCACCCCGAGACACTTCGCCATCACAGCCGAACACAGCAGTCAGCCGAGTCAGCAGGTTGGGCGCATGAGCCATGGAAGACCTTGTGACCCGCAAAGCTTGTTCAACATGGAGAGGCGAGGCAGCTTCATGCAGAAGAACTGCACTATCGTGCATGTCTTCGGAGGAAAAAATCTCGAAGGTTCCTGGAGGCGGGTTGATTGCCTCGAGTCTTGACGCCAAGCCTCGAATATCTATCAGCGGGTCATCACACCGTAAGATTGCACCGGCAGCACAAAGGGCGGCCACAGCTGCTGGGCTGGTGTCTTTTAGCAGTGGCAAATTCAAACCACGTTCGAGGCCCAGCCCACTGAGTTCCATGTGACATTGCCTCATAAACGGGGTGGGCGTGGTTCGGCCATAAAGGCAGTTTGATGCCGGCGAAGCAGTTGCCGAGGCCTCGGTTTCGACAGCATCGACTGAGGAGGGGAGAAGCTCCTCCAGCATTTGGACTAGCTCAGGCTTCCTGGCATCCGCTGGGATGTCGTCGACTCCAAGATCCACAAGTTTCTCAACGATTTTAGCCTTTGTTAGATTCGCCAGATCCGATTTCTCATCCTCAAACGACGAGACTTCTACGCTGTAGGTTGCCAGAGAACTTCCAGCTTGCACCCCGTCGTGTGGACCCACTACTGCCTTTGAAGTTTGGAGACATCTCTGGCGAAGCACTTCTGCGGCTGGAGAATCTCGTGTCTCTCCCAAATCCACCAGCACATCGAAGTCAACTTCTTGGAAAGCAGCGGCACCCGGCAGAATTTCAACGACGCAGGCTCTGACACCTGCGCCCGCCATCTCTGCCAAGAGTTCCTGTACTGCACAACACGTGAGTGAATCTCCAACATCTTTGCTCTGAAACGCGATCATGCAGCGACGGTCGCTTAACAACCCAGTTTTTGCCGGACCCTTGGCTGACTCCAGCAGCTTGAAAAGAAGCCACGCAGTGGTCCTCACGTCGTACTCCTGACCACCGATCACCCCAATTAGTTGCATCGGAGCCTGTGGGCGGCTACTTGCGTAAAACGCTTCGGCTAAGCAATGGGTGGGAGACGGCAGTCCAGAAGACAGAAGAACTACTGCCTGTAAACCTGTGTCTGAGAAGCGCGAAAAAAGTTTACCTGCTTCTTCTCGGGACATGTCAGACTCGGCCAGTATACCAATGGCAGACACCCCTTGCTCCAAAGCTTTCTCTAGGAGGAAGCCGTCGGCAGCTGCATTGGAGCTCAGGAGCAGAAAGTCGCCCTCGGTTGCACGCTGGGCAACATCGACCACTCCAGTAATGGAAACGCCTCCTTCACCAAAAAGTGGAGCAGACGTGTAGCCACACGTCTTCAATAAGTCTCCTAAAGGCATCGAACTCGGTGCGGAAGCAGTCGGCATCGTCGTTGAAGAGATGTTTGAGTGGAACAAAGCTTCGCTTTTGCCCAGCGAGGCCCTACTACGAGAAATCTCCGAAATGGCGGCTGCCACAGGGACACGTGCACTCTGAGCATTTTCACTCTCATCGTTGCAAGGCAAAGGCAGAGTAACAAGCTTCTCATCCTGACTCGTCCTCTCGTCCAACTGATTGGCAATGTCCGCCGGCACCTTCAATACCTGAGGCTCGTCAGATTGCAAATCCTTAAAGAGGTTCAACAAAACCAAGTTCTCAGACTCAGGATCATCATGGCTCTCCTCCAGAATGCTAGCCACCAGAGCATCGGTCCCGGCGTTGCCCTGTTCAATCAAACTGCCTGGTGCCAGTTGGGTTGAATCTGCAAGAGTCTCCAGATCGTTCAGGGCTGAAAGACCACTTTTGTTGGATTTTGGTGGGAAGCTGGTCCCAGCAGCTTGACCACAAATACGATCGAGGCTTCGAATCTGCGATTCAATGTTTTCTATATCTGCTGTGAAGTCGGCAGGATTTAGGGACTCTTCCCTTGGCATCTCAGCTTTCCCAGACAGCTTTCGAACCGCTGTCAAACGCCTCAGATGCAATCTGCAGCTTCGCCGTCGCTGCAGAAATACCACAGCCCCGAGGCCGCCAATTGCACGGAAGCACGGAACACTGCCGCTTGACTCGCTGCCAGACGCAGTGTACACGCCTCCTGTTGGCACTTTCGTCTGCAGGGGATGCCCACAGCCCAGGGAACTCCAAGCTCTGCTCCATTGAATTCGAATCTCGGCCATGGCGACGGGCTAAGGCTCTGGCCACGACATCTGCGTTTCTCTCTCTTGCCAAAGCTTTTCCTCAAAACTATATCACTTAGCTTCATTCGCCTTGATGGCATCTACTTAGCATGAGTTATCAGCAAGAAAAGCTTCTTGCATCAAGCCATAGCATCAGCTGCTCCCTGCTGCAACCAGCATGCATGGGCCTGTTCTGTGGCTTCCTTCAACAAATGTCGGTAACAGTGTGCTGTTCTGCACATTTTCGTCCGATGTTTTATCTATGCCAACGGAAAGCATCGCTTTTGCCTCGTTGACTGCTCGCTGGCGGTGGCGGTCTCGGGCCCTCACTGGTTGCCGGCCGCTTGCCGCTTTTTCATCGCTGCCTGGGACGCTTTCGCTTGGGAGCTTACTGTCATCGCTGTGTGGTGTGGAAAACGGATTCGATGCAGTGATGCAAGACCACCGACCCGCTCTCAAATCACAACAGGCCCTGCTGCCGAGTCCTCGGCTCGCATGTTTTTCATCATTCCTCGCGATACGCCATAGGATGCCCTGACCACATGAACGGTAAATTATCAAGCATCTGGCAACGTCTTATAGATGTTAAACCGCCAACGTCGACTCGCCAAGGCTCCTACCCTTCAGCCTCTGGCCCTGCTGCATCCCCATCCCAGAATGACCTGGGGAGCGGAGAAGGCTTCGATGCTCCAACCTCGCACTACAATCACCCGCTGAGGTCAAAACTCCGGATTCGACTGAAGCTTGTTGTAAGCTTCGAGGGTTTTCCTGAACATAAAGCATACCGAAACACTGCATCTGTTGGATGCGTGCTGCTGCCTCACTATCTCATCGTTCGCATTGGGAGGAGCCTGGCACTTCACTGACATCCTGTGCGCCACAGTTTGCAAACGGGTGCGGTGTGCGCCTTGATGCTCCGCTCCTCACCACGCCTCAAGGCAGCGTTGTTGGACTCGTCACATCTGCGCGTGAACGAGCCCCTGGCTTCTGGCCAGTCACCACGGCACTCTCTTGCCTTATGTCATCACGGCCCAAGGCTTACAAAAAAATCTCGACCGAAGACGATAGCAGCACAGCAACAGGTCACGTTGTCTCTTTTGCTGGATAGTCACGCGGTGGAAGTTTGCGACCCGACGACTACACCCGTCACGAGTTTCCTGCAACCTACGACCGCAAAGCTCACTCTCATCCGCGTAGAAATGCTCCTCAACTGTGTCACATTGAGTCTGACGATGCCAGGAAAGCTAACTACGACCCAAACCGCACAAGCTGGACGTAGATAGAAGCAGGCAGTACCCTCTAGCAGCTGCGGCAGCAAAGATTCCAAGAGTTGACGCTTGTCCTCACCTGCTGGTCCCTTAGGCGCTTTCATTCCGGGGCGGTGATTGACTTCAACGAGCCACACATGGAAATTCTTCCCCAGTGCAAAATCAAAACCGAAGCGCCGCCACGGCTGGCGCACAGGTGTGGATTTGGAATCGTCGTGGCTAGTACATCCCGTCGTCAATGGGAGTAGGCAGCTCAAAGCCCTCGAAATGGCAGTTCGAATTTGGGACACTATTTCCTCCGCCCAAACATCACGACCGGAACGTTCTTGCAGATACAGCTTGAAGGTGTCTGTTGACCACATGCGCTTTCGAACTCCAATGCCCTTCCCCTTACATGGCAGGTTGGACACGTGGGCTTCCTGTACTGCGGCACCATACTCCTCTGAAAAGGGCATCGCACAAAGATCAATGTAGCCTTTGTCATACACCCACACTGAAGGATCCTCGACCCAACGCACCAGAACGAGCATGCGCAGGTTGTATTTGTAAACCTCATCCACGCAGGCTTCTGCGGTATGTCCGCCCAGCCTGTTGTCAATGTCAATCAAGCTCGACATGTGGACCAAATGTGGCTTCTCAATGTACTTCTGCAGGACATATCCATCGTTCATACGCCCGCAAAATGGCATGGCCGAAATTTGCAATTCCTCTGCCCGCGACAGTCCACCAAAAAGAACGATACCTTTCCCCATCGCCCCATCGACAGGCTTTGCTAGCCACCAGTTTTTCTGGAGTAAGTCAAGTTGCAAATGGGGCAGCTCCTGCTCAACTCGCCGAAGGATCAGTTCTGCCTTGCGCATGGGACTCAGATGTAAGCCTTCCCAGAAGTTGTTGTCGGCGATGTGGGCTTCCAAATGTTTCTGGCAAATTTCCAAGGCAGTTTCCAGTCCATCATCTTCATTCGGCCTGCTACGCTTGGCTATGATTGATTCGCGTGATGCATCTTGTGTTCACGATGGCTTCAGCCGCGGCTTTGAGCTTGGCCGAAGGCTGACTCAAAACATGTGACATGATGCAACTGATTGCCAACTTTAACCAATTTTTAGTCCTCCCGGCGAAATGATGACACAACTTCTCAATTCGATGAAGTCGCTTGGGCTTTGATGCTGCCCCTTGTTCCAGATAATTTCGCAAGCGCCCCAGGCATTGCGACAGCTCAAAGTCGCGCCTCGAGCTGCAAAAGGCACACAACTGAGGAGGCTTTCTGCAGTCCGACCTTGTTGATATAGAGGTCAATATACATGACAGCTCCAGTGCACATGCCCTCATGAACATGACTGCCAAGAACATGACTGTAAAGAACACACCTAAAACCTGCCTCAGAAATCGAGAAAACGTTTCGCTAATCTTGCTGGCTCAGGGGCCCAGCTTTTTCTGCAGGTACACCTGGATGATCAGTCCAGGCTTCCCTCTCTGGTACCCAGCTTCGTTGGACAGGGTAAGTACCAGAGAGCCCTGTCCCCCTGCACGTGTAACTCAGGAGAGATACCGGTAATCCATCTGGACAACTGACTTTGTCGCATGTACAGCAGAATAACACAAACAGGCCCCGACCGGGGCCAAGCAGCCTTCACTTGCACGTCACTTGCACCTCCCTTGCACATCACTTGCACGTCCCTCGCACATCACTTGCACGTACAGAACTACAAACTTCGACCCCTGAATCCACTCGACTGTTGCATTTAGATTTGCCTCGATGCCGTAGCGCAGCGTGTGCGGAAACGACCTAAAACTGGCTAAGGCCCACCTCCATCATCCACTCACGCATTGGCTACAGATTTGCTGCAGTGCTCAATCCAAGCACATGCGTAAACATTGCGATCATCGTGGCGACCTGCGACCGACGAGGGTCCAACCTCTGTAGGCTGAGGCCCAACTCCTTCATCCGCTCACGCATTGGCTGCGGGTTTACAGCAGTGCTCCATCCAAGCACTTGTGGAGCTGTTGCAATCACACTGACGACGTTCAACCGACTATAAGGTCCAATCTCTCAACCCACATGGGTGTTGGATTCCACTCACGCATTGACTACAGAATTGCTGTAGCGCTCAATCCAAGCGCATGCGTAAACATTGCGATCACCATGGCGACCTGCGACCGACGAGGGTCCAACCTCTCAACTCACTTGGCTGTTGGCTTCAGACTTGCCTCAATGCTCAAGTATCAATGTACGACAAACATAACCACTACAAGACAGACGACCCCTGCACGTCACTTGCACGTCGCTTGCACCTCCCTTGCACCTCACTTGCACATCCCTTGCACATCACTTGCACGAACAGAACTACAAAAGACCCCTGAATCCACTTGACTGCAGCTTTTAGGTTTGCCTCAATGCCGTAGCAAAGCGTGCGCGGAAAACAACCTACAACGGGCTGAGGCCCAACTCCATCATCCACTCACGCATTGGCTACAGATTTGCTGCCGTGCTCAATCCAAGCACATGCGTAAACATTGCACGTGTGGAGCCCTTGCGATCACAGTAACGACGTGCAACCGACTGCAAGGTCAAACTCTCAAACCACATGGGTGTTGAATTCAGACGACCTCTGCTGTAAGCTGCACGTCACTTGTACGTCCGCTGCACGTCACTTGCACGTCACTTGCACCTCCCTTGCACCTCACTTGCACGTCCCTCCATCGATCGGAATCCTGAGCGTGTATCCTGTGTAAGAACGTCATTTCGAGTCGGTTACTGGCACTTGAGGCTCAACAAGGGACTGAGGCTCCAAAACTACACAAACCCACACTAAACCACAAAACCCTATGGGCACCAATGCCCGAAGAATGAGCTTGGCGACGAAGACCGTAAGTGCCAATGTTGTAATAGTCCACGTTGTAGTGAAGGCTTGTCAAAGTGGGCTTATGGCTGTCCTTCAGCCGGGTACGCAAGCCCCGAGAAGCGACAGAGGGGAATGAAGGCTGATCAGCTGCCCTTGCGAGGGCCCAGATCCAGCCGGGGACTGTTCCTCAGCTGGGCGCGACGGCCCCCAAAGGCAACAGTACGAGCACAACCTAAAAGCTGGTTTAAGCGAGCAGTGCAACTCAACACGCCACTCCAAGGGTGCAAGCTCATCCAAATCAATGTCGCTTGTAAGGAAAGCATGGCAGAATACAACTTCGGCCATCGTTCATCCCAATCAATGTTGCATGGCAGTGTACAACTTCGGCCATCGATCGGAATCCTGAGAAGAACGTCTTTTTCGAGCCGCTTCAAAAGCAGCTTTGTGCATCATTTACACGTCACTTGAGGCTCAACAAGGGACTGAGGCTCATCAACACCAACAAAAGACTCCAACAGGGGACTGAGTCTCAACAACATAAGCTAGCGAGCGTGGGATGATATCATTCCCGGTGTGGCCATCGATCGGAATCCTGAGCGTGTATCCTGTGTAAGAACAATGCCCGAAGAACGAGCTTGGCGACGAAGACCGTAAGTGCCAATGTTGTAATAGTCCACGTTGTAGTGAAGGCTTGTCAATGTGGGCTTATGGCTGTCCTTCAGCTGGGTACGCAAGCCCCCAGAAGCGACAGAGGGGAATGAAGGCTGATCAGCTGCCCTTGCGAGGGCCCAGATCCAGCCGGGGACTGTTCCTCAGCCGGGCGCGACGGCCCCCAAAAGCAACAGTACGAGCACAGCCTGAAAGCTGGTTTAAGCGAGCAGTGCAACTCAACACGCCACTCCAAGGGTGCAAACTCATCCAAATCAATGTCGTTTGTAAAGAAAACGTGGCAGAATACATCTTCGGCCATCGTTCATCCCAATCAATGTTGTATGGCAGTGTACAACTTCGGCCATCGATCGGAATCCTGAGAAGAACGTCTTTTCGAGCCGCTTCAAAAGCAGCTTGGCAAATCATTTACACGTCACTTGAGGCTCAACAAGGGACTGAGGCTCATCAACACCAACAGAAAACGCCTAGACATGAATGCACATGCAGTCGTCAATGATCTCCAGATGCCACTTCAACGCGAGTCTCAAGCCAGAAAATGCCTAAACATGAAAACATGTGCAGTCGTCAATGATCTCCAGATGCCACTCCACTCTGATTTCCTGAAGTGTGATTTCCGCTCAGTGATCTCCACTTGAACATGTTGTGAAACGGAAATGATCTCCAGACCTGCTAACACAAGCACCCCGGTGGGCCGGCAACTTCGCCGAATAACGACAAGGCCCTCATGAGGGAGCTCTTGCCGAACACAACTGAGGAGGCTTTCTGCAGTCCGACCTTGTTGATATAGAGGTCAATATACATGACAGCTCCAGTGCACATGCCCTCATGAACATGACTGCCAAGAACATGACTGTAAAGAACACACCTTAAACCTGCCTCAGAAATCGAGAAAACGTTTCGCTAATCTTGCTGGCTCAGGGGCCCAGCTTTTTCTGCAGGTACACCTGGATGATCAGTCCAGGCTTCCCTCTCTGGTACCCAGCTTCGTTGGACAGGGTAAGTACCAGAGAGCCCTGTCCCCCTGCACGTGTAACTCAGGAGAGATACCGGTAATCCATCTGGACAACTGACTTTGTCGCATGTACAGCAGAATAACACAAACACTGGACCACCTGAAGCCTCTTTGTGCCGGCGAGCGACCTGAACATCTTCCACTCTGAAGCAGCATCTGCAGGATCTCTTGTCAAGATGTAGCTTCGAGGCACCAGGCTCCAAACAGAAGGGTCTTTTCGCATCAGCAGCGCTAGAAGATGCTTGCCTTACTGAGACGTAGTTAGCACTACGTCTCCCTACGAACTGCACCATCATGTTTGTCCAGCAAAGCGGCGATGAACGTCCTGCACACTTCCGGGAGGAGCACCGCGTCTCATTAGGTCAAGCTGATGATCCAGTCTGCTGTCTGCTGCGGCACCTTCTGGAACTACAGCCATTTTGGCACTCAAAGCGGCAGCAGCCGTAGCGACAAATTTTGCTCTGCATGTTGGCCAACGCATCTGTCATCTTGGCTGCTCTTAACTTCGTGGCGTTAGTTTAATTTCCGTCACTAATGCTAAAGCTATGAGGCTTACAGGATTTTACAGGTATATTATATTATTATATTGTAGCAGGGACGGCTATACCAATTGTCTCGTAACCAGCAGCTTCAGGCGACGGTTGTTTCGCAGGCACATCTGGATCAACATGTGGTCCCCCTTTGAGCCAAGCAAGCTGGCGGACATCACGTTACGCTGGCCGAGCAGACCTTGAAGCTTTCTGAAGCAGATCTCCTGGTATGGGTTCGACTGAGATCTGGACGCAAGCGCCTTGGTCTATCGAACCGCATGTAAAACGACGAGCCAAAGGATGGAAGAGATGCGCAGGTGCCTGTGAAGTAGCAACGACCAGCCCAAGCAGAACGCTGAAAGAAGCCTCGTTCGGAATTCACAGCAAAGCGGCAAGGATACCACCGACTTTGTAAATTCTGGCCTGCAGGAATTTCGTCCACCACCCTGAACGGAAGAGTTTCCCCTGGACCACCACGAGGCAGCAGCAAGGGAATGCACCGAATTGAGAAGAACAATGAGTTCTGCCCGCCATAGCCCGCCTGATCTGCGTCTTGCAATTGACGCAAACCGCTCCTGGCTGACATCAACCAACTGCACTGGGTATTCACATAATTCATGCCTCAGCCCGCTAGTGAGATCAGGTGATGGTCCGTCATCCGACTAGTGTCAGGCACATGGCAACCCCACTAATCTTCGTGCAGCACCTCGAACGGGATTCATGCGCGAATCTGCCAGCCTGTTCGGCCCAGGCTGGATTCTGGCAGTGGCTTCACCGGGCCCGAACTTGGACAAGCGATCCGAACCTGCCAAGTTCCACACAGCTATTTGGCTCCACTAGGGCCGCTAAACTGATCAGGGCGTGACGCGCGCTGGATCGGGGGCACTGTTTAGAAAACCACGCATCAAATCACAAATCACTGGGCTCCTAAACCCCAAAAAACCCTAAGCCCTGTGATCTGCTTCGGCACACATGCAAATCTGAGCGGGAATCCGTTACACGACACAGTTTCAAGCACCCTGGAAGCAAACACCTGCAGCTACGTCTTGGCTCACAAACGCAGCCTGAGAATGGCTAGCGCGGCTAGCTGCGTTCAACTAATCGCCCAAGATGCCCAAAATGGCATGGAACGAGTTAAACATGCCCACGTGCACTTCGGGGCAAGGTGAACGCCCAATCGATGCAGCACATGGCCACTGCAATGCAGGCCTCGGATGTATTGGTTTACAACACGCAATTCTTTCATACATCTCACAGGCACGCACCAGCCAGGATGCCCGTCTGCGCCCCATGCCTGCAGAAGACTTGCACACAATAACTTAAACTAACAGAAGGCAAGTGTCCTCCCACCGCCCCCTGCCTGCTCACGATAGACGGCGAGGCCAAACCCCCCCGCTTATCCCTTTGGAGCAGCATAACGCTGCAACAAGCAACTCTGACACTCGTACTCGCAAGGCCAAAGTGCTCAAATCATGTCGGCACTGATAATAAGTGTATGCAACTTTCCACGCGAAGCAAACTCATTTTTGTGTTCAATCTGCATACATGCGCCGCCAGACATCTTGCTGCAAAAGGAATAGGAACCTGTACAGCAGCAGTGAAGAAGCGAGGCTTCACAATAGCATCAAACCTTTGGTTTACACAGATAGCCTCGAGAGCTCATTTAAGCGTGTTCTAATTCGTGCATTTCTAGCACGGATGGTGGATTGCATACCCGATCCAACAATTTGGCGGCCAGCTGCTCGCAATCCAGTAGTTTGGCACCGCTCATGCCAACAGCACCCAGGACCTGACATGAAAGCAAACCAAACAGAATTGTCAGAAACTGCATCACAACATGTTTCCAACTTGCCTGGTCAATGTCTGCCTCTGACAAGTCTTGGTCTTGAGATATGAACTCCAAGATTCGGTCTTTGCTTATCTTGGCCTCAACACAATTGGGAATGTGCTTCCTTCCCGAAGCCCCGACCAGAACTTAAATTATCCAAGAGGCTCGATTGCTTGCAAGCCTGGAATGGCTTGCGAAAGAAGTAAACATCAGAAGCAACAGCAGCAGCACCACCACCACCACGAAGCAAGTCGCACATCAAACTGGCACATGTGGCGGGGCCTTCGCAACGCCTGCTGCACTGCAGCCAAGCTAACATTGTCTCTGTCCTGGTTCTGCTCCAACAAATCCATGAGCCTGAGATCACATGGGCAGCGATGCGCTTGACTTTGCATGTTTTGCCTCTTGCGCTGTTGCAATGCTATCCTCGGACTGGATGGACCGGTCATGCACCAAATTCAAGCACAGAGACAGCTGCACGCACTACGATTAACTTTGCATGCTGTAACGTGTACTGTCCTTGCATGACGAGGTGCATTCGCAAGTTCCATTTTGTTCTTTCGGCCATGGTGCCTTGCTTTGTGCCTCGAATGATAGGAGCGCACAATGGAAACGCAAGCGGATGCCAGCCCCTGCGTGAAGTAAATTGTTGCAATGCAGAGGTGCTTGTCTTGAGCTGATTCAACAGCATAGTGTCAAGCTCGTCGTCTGGTAAGCACCAGCCAGCACAACGCAAGAAATCGCGCGCCTGGCCGCGGGCTGGCCGCTGGTTGCGACATGATGTGACCATGTGCACACATCGGGAGAAAGGTTTCAAACCTCTTGAAACACCCCGTGTTCCCTGATGCTAAACAACTCTGTGCAATTTTTGGCACTTGTAAATTACTCTCCGCGCGTCGTTGCCGGTCGGCGTGCCTATTCGTCCGTAGTTGGTACATTGGTGATGTAGCTGCACACGCACCGGTTACAAACATTACCTTCAGCAACTCGAACTTCGTTGGGTCGTTTCCAAGCCACGTTAATTTGAGACATGTGAAGCAACTGCACAATCGGCGATGTCCGATTACGCATCTAGTAAAAGATGCATCTAGTAAAAGATGCTCTCACAACGCAGTGTTGTTCAGAGGCTTGATTGGCCCCTGTTGGCCAAGTACATTATGAGATCAGAAGTTACGCTGTCCAAACCTCGTCGCCGACTGCTATGGGTGCAGCGGTAAGCGACTGGGGCTTGCTGCTGGTCGGGCGAGCTCGAGAACTCGCTCGAGGGGCAGCTTATCCCTTTGGCGCGGGTGGAACGGCACTGGCCAAGCCTGCCCCACTCCCACTGCCGTGCTGGGGACGGCATGCTGCACGGCAACAGCGCGCATGCGGCTGCGCGGCGCAGAGCGTTTGCGACCGGACTGCACGAAGCAGCCAGCCTCGCCAGCCCCGGCCACCGAGCCCAAAACAAGGAGCTCTTGGTCCTTCGCTGCAGAGCTTCGGGTATGTGGACCGCTTGCGGTGCTCGGCTACCCTGAACACAGCCCCGTTGGTGTCCGCGGCTCCCGGCTGTGGATGCCCCGTCCGCGCGAGCGGTGAGACGAGGGTGGCATCCCAGCATAACGCCTTCCCGCGGCGTGGCACCGTGGACGACAAGGTCAAGCCATCTGCCATCGTCCTGAGGCGGTAGCGTGCGCGAGCCATTGTGGGATGACTTGACCATCAGATCCGGCCGCCCACCCTGGTCCCCATACTCGTCCACCTGCTGCCCCGCCTAATCGCAAGCGGCGCCGCAATGCGAGCTGCATGGCTTGCAATGCCGGTTCGCGGGGGGCAACAGCCGCCGCCCGCGTGTGTTCGCAAATATGCAATGCGATGTCGTGCGCCTGGGTGGCTGTGGCGAGGCCCCCGAATCCATCAAGCAGTAACGATTGCGATGCGGCTGACAAGTACCCATCGTGGTCTATGCATGCGGCGACTGCTGCTCCGAGAGGCTCAGCGGGGCGTCTTCGGGCAACGCGGCGACTTCGGCCGCGAAAACTTCGTCCCTTGGCGAAACTTGCTCTTGTGCCTCGCTGGCGTCGAGCTGGGGCGATTGCATGCACTTGGCGAGTTAGGGTGCGTGAAGCCGAAAATGCCGTTCTCATGATGGCATGTGATGGCGATGCGTCGGCGGGGCACGCTCGGAACAAACGTTGCAACCCGGGTGCGGCGGGCCTCCGCGGCGGTGTGGCGAGGCCAGCCGGGGTGGCATAGCCGGGCGTGGACTCGTCGACCTGAGTGGGAGCAGCGTCGCCCGGTCTGCGGGGGGGCGGGGGGACGTTGGCTTGTTGCTGGCGGCGACGCAAACCACATCGAAGCGTTTAGCCAGTTTTTTTTTCATGCACTTTTTGCGACAGTCCGCGACGCGGTCCCAGTGCAGCAGGCCCAAACCCAAGGCGACGTCCTACGGCATCAAGTCCAAGCTTGCAGGCACGGCAAGGCGCTGTCAAGGGCGTGGTGGCAGACGGCTGGCAAGGGGCGGGGTCTCGTCGAAGCGAGTCGAAGAAAGAACCTCGATGAGCAGCGGCTGGTCGCCATCGACATTGGCAATGCCGGCAGGGGAAAGACCAAGCAGACTGGCACCGAAGGCTCTGGCGGCAGAACAGGCAAGCAGGGCAGACCACCGGGAGGTGAAGGCTGCGATGGTTGCAGGTCGCAGCGGGCGAGGGACGGCGCGGGCCCGGCAGCGAGCGAGGAGGCGGACAAACTGGGCAGCCTCTGAGCTCCAGCGGCCTCCGACCTCGAGTGCAAGGACAACGAGCCTGCACCTTTGCGAGCGCAGTAGCTCGGGGCAGGTGCGTTCCTTGGACCTGCGGGCAAGGCGCAGGGCGGCGCCACGGGACTGTCGCTGATGCCGGCGCGCAGCTCCACTGGCATCGAGAGGCGACACGAGGGTGGTGTCGACAGCAAGCTGTGCTCCGCCCAGTTCAAAATGTTTTCCACGTCGCCTGCGCGCGGCTCCCCATCGAGGCGCATTGGTCGTGCGACCCCGCCAGCTGCATCTTTCTCTTATACACACACACACACACACTTGATGGACTCTCGATTGACCGAAGCATACCGAAGCCAAACATGAGTTAGCACGTATTCCTACAATCGTGG